GCCCCTAGCAGCGTCCTTGCTCCTAGTAGTAAGGCCAGGAGCCCCTAGCAGCGTCCTTGCTCCTAGTAGTAAGGCCAGGAGCCCCTAGTAGCGGCCTTGCTCCTAGTAGTAAGGCAAGGAGCCCCTAGAAGCGTCCTTGCTCCTAGTAGTAAGGCAAGGAGGCCCTAGCAGCGTTCTTGCTCCTAGTAGTAAGGCCAGGAGCCCCTAATAGCGTCCTTGCTCCTACTAGTAAAGCCCTTTGCTCCTACTAGCGTCCTTGCTCCTAGCATCGACCCCAAACAGCTTCTTTGCCAGCGAACCAAACAGAAGTTTTCAGAACGGGTGCTGCCGCCAGTTTAGAGCCACGTGAGACAAAAGGAGACAAAAGGCCAAACGAACAATCTTGTCCCAGGATCGTTTCTATGCAAACATTGAGAACCCCTTAAGAACGCCAAGCCAAGGCGATATTTGGAGAAGAAAAATAAGCGCTCTGCCACAACAAGCCCTTCAGAAACCAAACGGATTTCTGTGGCCGATCTCTGGGGCCCCTGACAATCCACGTCGTCCGTCACGCTGAGGTCCGTGACCTCGGTCTTCGCTGTCGGAGAAGCGTCCGACTTGTAGACGCTGGCCGTGCACAGGTCGGAGCCACCTGGGCGGAGAAAACGGCTGTAGAAACACCTGGACCACGTTGGGTGAGTCTGAAATGTCCAAAGTCCAAACTTGCCAAACTCGCAACTGGCGCCATAATGTTGTGCGGTGCCTGAGGGAACTCGAGCCAGTCGAGCTTCTTTCAAATTCAAGACAAGCCTGGACACTGTCAGCTGGGCGAGGCATTCAACAGAACTGCTTAAACTGGTACCAAACAAAATCAAACAACTGTCTCTCTGATCACCCAAGTTGCTCCAGTGAATTGTGTGAGCCAAAATTCTGTCCAGTGTGCTTACAACTTGATGTTTCTCCCCAACCTGGACAATCCCCTGTCTCGGCACATGGAGCTGCAGTAGGTAAGGTCATCTCGCATGTAGACCTGGCACGCTGAAAGCTTGGCTGGCACCCCTGACATTCAACAGCTAAACAAATTTGGCACCCGGTTTGGTCTCGGTTCGGGTCGAAACATGGATCCGTGACTGGGGCATGATCCGGGATCATCTTGGCGCAGCAGCTGCAGCGAAAAACGTGGTCCGACCTCCACGGAGTCCAAGTGCTGGACACAGGGCGACACCCCCGGTGCTTCCTAGGGCACCGACACTTTGCCCTGGGAACCGTTGCATCCTGGCACGGCATACAAAGGCATCATAGGTGCAGTGGCGTCCAATCTGTTGATCTAAGCAGTTTGGTTTGAACATATTGAACCCTGACTCGGCTTACTCATTTTCGATGATGAATTGATGTCCAAAGGCATGATGGCCATAAAGTTGTCTATACCGGTTCGATTGAAGACCACTACTGCAAAAAAGAACTTGTCTGGCTTCAGTGAAGGGAAATTCGAGACTATAATGAGGGAGTTTGTTGACCACAACTTTTTTGACAACACTGGGCATCAAAAATCAAGGCTTTCCGTTAAGAAGGATGGTGCCATAAATGAGCGCGCACATTTGTCACTTGTGTTTGTTGGTAGCCCTCCCTCAGAACCCAAGAAGCCCAATAGGTGCAGTTTTCAGGCATAGGCGCAATTGCCATGCTTATTTGGACTGCATCCAGAAAGAGAGAAGTGAGACAGTGACAGCACTGATGAATCAACAGTTGAATCAGCACAAAAACGAGAAGACACGTTCACCTGGATTTGGTGGAAAGTTGCGGATAACAAAACTGACAACTGACAGACTGTAGCGTTTTGTAACAAAATGTTGGGGTGTACGGTGTAGCGGTGTGGTCGAGGGGTGTGTGGTCAACAACTCCCTGATATAATTTGTGATAGTTGTCATCATATTGAGCTGAGATCCACACCGTACGTCATGTCCTCGGCCAAAATCACATCAAAAGGTACATCAGTCCCGATTCAGGTGGCCACATGTTGGGCCACACGGTCGTCCAGGTTTGAGGTTGAATCTTGCCTTGTGCGGGCTTTTAGACTATCTGTGCATGTTTATTGGTGTTCCTGCAAAAACAACGGGACAGTGCTTGCACAAGAAGAACGCATCGAGTTCCTATGTGAAGATTCAACCATGGTGGCTCAATTCGGCCAGACTGACCGCTACATCAGCCAAGCCGCTGCTGGTGGACTCGTCTGTGCAAAGTTCTGCTACGGAGTGGTAATGTGAAAGGGTTCGTTGTGTTTGAAGAAACAGTTGCACTTGTCATGAAGATGCAACTAGGTACAGTTTTGTTAGATTTCTAAAAAAAGAGATCTGGAGCCAACAGAAAAGCCAGCAGTTCGCATGACATCGATGTGCGCCCATCCAACTTCAACTGGATCCACATCTCTCAGGCATATCGTTAGACGCTGAAGAACCTTCTTTCCCGTGGCAGGCTCTGCAAACAACGATCTTCATCGTAACAGCTTTCCGCTGTTGGATGACATCTCCACACATGTCGCAATCGGAGGGTCTGTCGGAAGGTCGCCATGAGTCGCCATGCTCTTCGGCGGCAGCGCAGCGGTCGGATCCATCAGAGGGTCGGTCGAAGCTTCCCTTCTGCTACTCGTCAGCTCGTCGGTCGCGTCGGTCAGCTGATCGTCGGTCGCTCGTCAGCCCACGTGTTCCTTTTGTTAGACAGCTTGTCATGGCAACACCTGTGCCAGGTCAATCAAACGGATAGGTCCAATAGGTCGATCATACCACCAGCCTTCCAAATGGCACTTCACCTGGGTTCAGCGCACGGGACTTCAGCGCACTTCACCTGGCCAAAATCGTGTCTTTCCAGTGGGGCCTACATTGATCATTATTTCATGTACAAACACATCACAGCCAAAAAAGGAGAGAGCTGTTTGGTCATCCAACAACTTCCAAGAACAATTCCCAGCTTTTTTCTCTTCCAACGCTTTGTGCCGATTCTGCTTTGTAGCAGGCTGTGATTACAGCTCCACATGCAATTTCACTGGGAACGAAGCCTTGTCGGGAAAGATCTGTCCTGGGTCACAATGTCGAAACGCGTTAAGCGGGGTAAGTTGAAGCATGATTGATTCATACATTCATACCAAGCCTCGTGTATCTCCTTTCCAGTACCTATCCTGATCATTTCATCTACTGTATCTCTGGGTTCCACTGGAAGAGTTCGTAGTCAATAGGTATCTGCAAGATATCGGCCATCCCTGGAGATTCAAAACGGTTTGAATATAGCCGGGAAGCAACATTCCAATGGAACTTTCCCATGCAGACAAGAAGGCTGAGGACTCCATCAGGGCACCCAGCACAACAATATCAGGAAGCACTGCATGATGTCCTCCAGCCAAAGAAGGACGAAAAGCAAATGTCGAGATGACGAACAGCAGCCCTTTCAGCTGCTCAACCCACCGTCCTAGTTTCATCACCAGCTCAGTTGCATAAAGCCACGATGTGGCTTTTGTGCAAGCGCTGGTAGCAGCCGAGCATGCAACGAGGTTCCAAGCCCTTCCTCCAAAAACATCCTAGGTTCCAAGTTCGAAGCCCATCAGAAATTCTAACAGTTACATAGTTACATATGTACTAAAATGTATACTGAATATATATAAGCAACAAAAAGCTTCAACGAGTTCCAACTTTGAGCATCTAAGGCCATTTGCCATTTGGCTGCTTCTTGGCATGCTGCCAACAAAGCACTGCCACTTACCATGCTCGGCCGAAGCAGTGAATTCCGGATGGTAGAAAAAATGCAAGCAGCTTGGGGCCAAGCAGCAGCAGCTGCACTGGAGCTGATGCAGCTGTTGTGACTGATCACACTTGGCCTTCCAAGACTCAAGGCAATCTCCTCCAGGCAAAGCAAAGAGTCTTGCCAGTAGCCCCCTGCTGCGAAAGAGGAAGAGGCTGCGTTGAAGCTAATGGTATCTGGTCTGAAGGAGGCATGCATCATTTCTCGCAGGAGACTCATAGAAGACTTGGACTGCCCAGCCTTCTCACATGCACTTATTGCTCCATTCCAGCATATTCTGTCCACTAGTCTGCGCTGTTGACTGGCGGCAAATAGAGTGTCCAGGGCTACATCCCAATGAGCCACCTGCCCGCTTGCTGAGATGACAGAAGCAATGCTAATCATGTTTGGTTTCAAGAGCTGTTGTCTCGCATGTTGGCTCAGAAATAACGCCGTCGGCCACTGACCTTCTTTGCCACAGGCATTGATAGCAGCATTGAAGCCTGATGTTGCGAAGCTGGGCGAAAACAGCAACTTGAAAAATAGGTCCTAGCATCCTACCCTATTATTTTATACAAGCTTATTCATCACACCGTTCACTTAAAATCTGCCAAACAACAAGCCATGTTTGGGTTGCACAACTGGCGCATCGCTTGCAAAAACCTTAGAGCCAGCTTCCAGTTCCCATCCTTCTCATATGCAGATATCACAGCGCTACATTCAAAAACGCTGATCTCCAGCCGGCCCTTCGACATGCACCGCAGTACATCTTCACACAAACCAGCAAGCCGACGCTTCGCCAACAAGTCAAGAAGATGAGTTGAAAACCTGGGATTTGATCTCCATGTATCAAAGAAGGAGCTGATTGCAACTTCCACATCGTGCGCACTATATCCAGGACTCAACGCCAATAAGCGCTTGAGTTCTGGGATGGTGCTTTCCTCCACGCCCATCACCAAGTGTAGGGAACGGATAGCCAAAGTCTGGAAGAGCTTTCCAACTTGTTCTTGAGCCAAAAAGGGTCCACTTGTTCTTGATCACGGTGTTTGCTCTCATCCTGATTGCTCATATGCATGACGCCTCCATGTCTGGCGCCCGAGCCAAACATGTCTGGCACGGTGGATTCAGATCACACGAAACATCAGCTGACAGGCTGAAAGCCAACCTGTGAGATCGGCAACTAGCTTGAAGATCATCTCACGGTTCGCCTGAGGCTTCCGTTCGGGGCCGAGGGTGGGTTGTTCATGGCATGAACCTTCGTGACAGGTCTTTTCCAGTCCAACAGGAATCAAAAGAAAATTACAATCCTGAACTCTCTCAGACCTGTTCGTTTTCTCGTGCCTGAAATCCTTTCGGGTCTTCCATCTGCCATCTGTGCTCTGGGACCTGGGTTGTGATCATAAGGACAAAGGTAATCCGCAAGCAGCAGATCTGCCCAAGTTGGTGGCTTCTTTTACCAGTGAACTGCACCTACTGGGTGGTTTGATTTTGAGAGGAGACGGAGAGGCAACAGTATCATAGAAGGTGTCAAAAGAGTGGTGTTAAGTAGATGCCCACTTTCACAAACGTGACATCTTTTTTGTTGCATGCCATCTTGCTTGTCTCACTGTCTCACTCAGCCCCACACACAAATGACATGCCAACCCATCTGACGGAGCAGCTGGATCTCAGCATGTTTTTCCTAGGCCATCACTGAGTCTGACGAAAACAAGTGTAATGACCTGAACCACCCCCTGTCCGCAGCGGGACCTGGTTCTTTCTCTCTCTCTCACCTTTCGCGTGCAACTACCATCAGGCTCCCTTCCACTTCTCCTTTCCATCGTTCTTTCCGTCCTCTCCTCTATCTGAATGCCGATCCTCTCACGTTTCATAAGGCCAAAACGCTCTTTTTTTTCCAAGACTTGTGGACCCACAAGAACTTGGGAACCTGCTAGCAATGGCCTTCAACCTACTAGCGATGGCCTCCAATCCAATAGAACCATGTATGGTCATGTAAGGATTTGTATTATGATGTTGTAAGCAAAGTATCTTGCAGCGATTCGACAATAGTAGTAACAAGTGCCACGCTAGTAGTAACAGGTGCCTTACTAGTAGTAACAAAAAGCTATTAGAATTAAAGTTAAATTTAAATTGAGTTCCAAGAGTCGGCAGCAAGCAAAAGCCCTTTGGCACGCTGGCGCTCCCCTTGAAGCCTGCTTTGAGCCACAAGGAAGTTGCTTGAAAATCACTAAATGTTTAGCAGCTTTTGGCGTCAGTTCTCTCAGTCCTTCTCCACTCAATTGCTGACAAGGGGCGTAGGTGATGCATGGTAGTAATCACTATCTCTCAGCAATTCCAACAGAACGTGCGTTTCCGGCCTCAGGTGGGTTCGATAACGTGCGTTTCCGGCCCCAATTATACAACAACTAAAAGGTGTTGTTCGGCCTGTGGTGCTTCTGTTTCGATACTTTGCCCATGTAGGTCTCAAGCTGGCAGAATCGTTGGAAGGAGAAATCAGCACCCCATACGAACAGCATTTGACTACGTAGCCCATCTCTTTTCGAGGCAAAGTATTAGGATTTATACTACAAGATTTAAGCAAACAGCATTTAGCCACCATAAGACTCTTAAATCTGGCATTAAATGCTACAACCATCTGGCATTGCATATACGTTTTTTGCCCATCTGGCCAAGCAGCAACTCTTGAACAGAGACAACGGGACCACCGTGTGGAGGACAGCACGATCGGATCAACCGGGGGTCTGAAGAATGGCATGAGAGGTCCAAGAAAAAGGGTGGGAAGGAGGCTTGTGCAGCAAAATGGCATGCCACACCATTTGGTAGGTTCCAGTTCCAGTGAACTGAAGACCTTCTGCACAAATATGATCATATATAAGTTCTCATCCCCACTGCAAACGTGGCACATGCGGCACATGCAAGGTTGATGCTTTTTCTTGACACGTCTGCAGTCCTCTGTCAATAAAAGCATCGAAACTTCAGGGCAAACAAACGTGAGATTGATGAGTGCCAGCACTTGAAATAGAAAGCACGTATCTGCACGAGCACATGGCTTGCCTCTGACTAAACATGCCATCTGCAGGATGCAATAGATCTTGGATGTGGACCTTGCGTTGGATGGGGTGCTTCTCAATAAAGCTTCATCGTCTGCAAAGTCCACATCCTGCACTTTGCACATCGGATGTAAAGGAGGTACCTTCATCTCTGTACTTCTAATCCTGCTTCAGAAGGCACAAGCGCAAAGCTGATCTCTTTTTCTCATACATGTTTTTCTCTTGACACTCTTTGCCTGTCCTGTGGCTTTGGAGCCAGTGGAGGCTGCTTTGCTCTCGCAGCCTCTGGAGCACCAAGAGACTGATCCCCTTTGAAACTTTCAAGTTGCGCATTCTTCCCAAAGGATACTCAAAACAAAGCAGATGCATCTGAGTATAAACTGACCCAAAAACCGTTGCAAGGGTTCATGAGTTGTGCAGCCGAGTCGACTGCCTTCCGCTTTCTTCGACCCAATCTCCTTGAATGGACCGTCCTCGCCTGAAGCACATGTGACATCGCATTGGGCAAATCAACTTGATTGTCTGGGAATGCAAGCAAATGCTGCCAAATCATTTTGTTTGCGCTTTCCAGCCTCTGGCATTGCCAATCCCTCTTCTCCACTCGATTCACTTTCATCACCAAGGTCGACATATCCATGTTGGTGCCTACCGCGTGGAATTGAGTCATGTCGAGATCGATGGGGTGGCACCGATCCACATTCCACCGGGTTCAACCGGCCTGACAAAGTTGGCAAGGCCAACTAAGTTCATGGCAAAAGGAACAGAGATGGGACCTACCTGGAAAACTGACAGTTTCAAGCTCGATTATATGAGATTGTGCGAGTCTGCGTTGAGTCTATGTGCGACTTTGACTGTTCTCCCAAAGCTTTTTGCATGAGTCAAAACACAAGCGGCGAAGGGCGACATCACGTCTGGCCCACCGTGATCTCTGTCTCCAGGTCTATGCCAGGCCAAGTGGAGAGTTCCTTGCCAGCTAGAGATTGAGTCTAAGCTAAAACATTCAGTCATTGCGCAGATCTCCTGCAAAACCAATTCTTGGAATCTGGATGATCGTGAACGTGCAGCCACAGCCATTGTTGTTGAGGTTATAATCAACGGACGCCATTCCAGAATGGCCTGCACAATTGTGGATTCTACACAAAGGTGTTTGGCAAGCACTCGTCATTTACGTAAAAATACATACAAACATACAAACGTACAAACATACATACATACATACATACATACATACATACCATACATACATACATACATACATACATACATACAAGGCTCAAGAATATTAACTCAAGTGCCTCAAGGCTCAAGCTCGAGAAAGGAAGGCTCCTAGCCATAGTGGTTGGAGGGCACTACACGTCCTCGAGCACAAGGCCCTTGACACAGAAGACGGTGGCCTCAGCGTGCGGGGCTTCAACCGCCTCAGATGAGAAAGCATTATTTGGTATGCCAAAGCTGCAAGGAAAGCTGGATTTGGGAAAGCCGTTTGATGCAGCAGCCCAACCTGACTTGCAATCAGTGCGGGTGTAAATGGCACACCAAGATCCTCCCAGAAAGTTGAATGGGCGGCATGGAACTTTGCTTCAAAAGGGGAGAAATGGCCCAAGAAATCCTACAAGGAATATGGAGGAAAACCACACAAGAAGAGCAAGACGAAAGCACAAGGCACAGAGAAGAAACTGCAAGAGCATTGGAACTCCATTCCAGAAGCCCTACGCAGTCAGCTTGAGGCTATGGGGGTCAAGGCAGCTGAACCAGCTCCTCCCCCAGATTTGCCAACTCTGATGAAGGAACATCTACAGAGTCTGCCGACAGACTTGAAAGAGGCCGTGGAGAAGATAGTGGAGCCACCAAAGAGTGAACCGCCTCTCAACCAGAAGTTGAAACAAGCGGTTGGCACCCTCAAGCAACTCTCGGAGAAGAAGGCATCTATTCAAACACGAGCAGACAATGTCAAGCAGCAATACACCCAACTCTTGCAGGACCTGAAAGAGATCCAGGGCAAGATTGAAACAGCTCAGAAAGAACTCCAAGAGACGACCCATCTCTACAACCAACAGCTTGAGAAGGACAAGGAAAAGGAAGACGAAGAGTCCGTGCAAGAAGAAATCACAGCAGAAAACCTGCTGACGGTTTTGGCCAGCTTAGGATTCTACGCATCCGCAGAGCAGGCCAAAGAGTTCGCCAACGAGTTGGGTGAGAACGTCATGAAACGCAGAAAGTGTGGGTAACAAACAAGAACCTCACAGGCAGCAGGTTCAAGGGGTTTGGCATTCATATGCACAACATGCTCCTCACCAAGGGGTACCAGGTGATCAGCAATGGCATGCATATGGTGTTTTTGGCTCAGGCGGGGAGAACGGGGGCGCTTTCCTATGGCCTGGCTTTGGGGAGACAGCTTCGGAGCAGAAGCAAGCTTTTGAAGGAGAAGAGAAAACTTTTCCCTGTTTTTGTGGGGGAGTGGGCTCCATGGAGGAGGACGACATGGGCACCCACAATGGACCTTCTGACCCACAGTCAGAGGAACCAGAACATCAGATCCAGACTAGTTTGGACTACGTGGTGCAAAACTTCTTGCAGAGCAGGTTGGGAAACTACAGGAACAGGTGCTTTGCAAATGGGCCTTTCAGGCTGCGGCTATGGGCTTGGGTGGGGAGCTTTCTCCAAGGCCCACAGCTTTGGAACAAAACAACGGCAGCGGTCACGGCGGCACTGGGGGACAACGAAGCGGTGAACATCACGACGCTGGCTACCCTCAGACCGCTGTGGAGCAAATTTGATGACATGGTACAGGATGATGCATCTCACTTCCTGCAGGAACTGGTGCGCATCTCTGACTCCAACAGGGTGATCTAGCAGTATCACCATGTGGACTATCGACAAGAAGTTCACCTACGGGATGCATTTCCCACACACCTCATCTACCCAGAAGGAGAAGAATTTGAGACCCTGATTACCAGATGGGCAAACACGGCAGAAGGACAAGCGCTGGCCGGAGATGGCTTGTGGATGGTGCAGATTGGCAGGTATACCCACTCCAAGGGTGAGTGGACAAAACATCACAAACCGCTTCAAGTCCCATCCATCTTCCAGCTTCCAGTATGTCATGATGGACAGACCACCAGGACCGAGCAGTATTCATTGGTTGGACTACTATGTCACACAGGTGATGGACACCGTAGTGGGCATTTCTTTGCCATCTACATCTACAGAGGACTCTACTGGTTGGCGGATGATGAGGCTTTTCCTCGGGCGCTACCCTACCTCCAGGACAGCATCAAGCAGCAGATGGTTCAGGTCTGGGCTATACCTTCCAGGCAGCTCCTACCAGACCACCTCAAGTGTGACTTCCCCACCGGCCTGGTTGAAACAACAAGGGAAGAACCTACTGCAGAACGTAGGTGTCAAGAGGGAACAGAATTTGCATTTGCAAATGTGACGACGCTAGGGCATGAAGTTCGGCAATGGATAGGAAGGAGACCTCGCAACCCCATCTTCGTTGTCGAAACACACCTGAATGAGAATGATCACTTCAAGACAATGCCATGGTTCAGCACAAGAGGCTTTGGTGCCATGGGGCATGCAGGGGCAGACACCAAAGGAGGAACCAATGGTGGCATCATGGTCATCTTGCCGGCGCACCTACATTTCCACTACATACAACACCAGATGATAGATGGCTGCGGCTGGTATGCTGTGATGTGGAGCTTCAGCCACATCAACATCATCATGGCTGCTGCCTATTTCAAACGTGGAGAAGGTTTACAAGGCAAAACAAACTCGGAACTATGGGCAGGGCTCATCACCTTTGTCACAGGGGTGAACCAAGCCTGCATCATCATCGGGGATTTTAACATCACTCCTGCTGAGTTCATGGCCACGACGATGAGCACAGTGATGCAAGTCCAGGTAGTTGCAACAGGGGATGAGACTTGCAATACAGGAAATGAGCTGGACTGGGCACTGGCCACGAACCAGATCTGCGCAGACCTCAGGGTTCAAGCGAGCTGGGATGTTCCTTTCCGGCCGCATGCGCAACTTTTGTTCCACCTTGGGATCACCCTACAGCCCAGTTCAGTGAACCAGCTCACTCGATACAATCCAGCGCCCAAGATGGAGCAACCGACGAAAGAATGGGTGCAGATCGAGCCAAAGGAGCAATCAGTGCAATGGTTGGACTTTGAAGACAACCAGATTAGTCGACAAGCAGGAGTCATCTACAGCCGGATTGAAAGGTACGTCTGGACAACCCAAGACAAGGGCGAGGAATAAAGCTGCAGTTCTGGCACAAGCCCCTATGTACCCATCCAAAGCCTGGCTGTGGAAGAAAGGGAGTTTGGCCTTCTGGAATCAGGTTGAAGTCCGGTTCAGCAGATCCAGTACAGACCCAATCACCTCCTAGGAGATCAACCGCAACTGGAGAAGCTAGGCTGGCACATTGACCAACACTGGCATGATGAGGCGGCCATCTCCAAGCAGAACTACAAGATGCTCTTCACCATGATCTGGAGCCAACCTGAACCCGAACACCTTCAGGTACTTCTGCAGCACACCAAGGCACAGCGGGAATTACATCAAAGCATTAGCTTTGCCGCGGAGACGGAAATGTACAGAGAATGGTTGGCCAAAACATCCCTCAAGGGCCATCGTGGACTCTTCAGACGCCTCAAGAAAGAAGAGCAGGCATTCCAGGGACCATTCCAACAGTTGCCAAGGCAAGAACGCATGGAAAAAATGCAGCAATGGAGTGAAATCCGCCCGCACCGAAGGTGCCGAGGCGTAGCTTTAGGGCACGGGTTATACCGCAAGTACCGCAAGTACTATAGCGTTAGCTAGGGGGGGGGGCCATTTTCGCTCTAGAATCCTGTGTTTTTCACGTTTTTGGGATCGGCTTAAAGTGCTTTCGTGCTAATGTTGGGTATCTTGAAGGCTTTAGGGATGCAAGAAATGCGAGTTTCTCCTTTGCATCATCTGCATCATCTGGACATTTGGCTGAACAGGTTCCCCTAACGGGGCTCAACATAGCTTCCATATTGCGTAACCACTATCTACCGGACGTGTCTGCGAGATAGGGACTTGAACGTCCGGGTACGTGGCTG